GTGGCTTTACTGAAGTGATGATAAAAAGAAAAGATTTGAGTGATTCATGGCCTCTAGAATTAGATGATATGGTAATTTAAAAAAAATACAATTATTATGCACATACACTGTATACATCTGGGTACATGTGTCATTATCGTTTTTAGCACTTTGAACTACAGCATTTCTTGTTGGGCTTAGAAGGAGATTGCAAAAGCCAATCGTGGTTTTGAACAACTTTAAAATGTGGCCGGAGGTACAATAGACTATTAACTGCAAGTAATTATTTTTGGAAATTTGTAGATATTGACTGTACTACTAATGGATAAATATAAAATAAACTACAATGAAGCAGTAGAAATATTTAAAAAGAAAGAATTACCAAAATGAAACTTCTAAATAATTAAAAGAAGGATGAAATGTTACTTTTGTAAATCAAGGCTTTTTTCTTATGATTTGATTCTAATTATTAGTATACAACTGACAGAATGATTGATTGCGCTTGTACATAATAAAATAGCCCAGAAATTGACATTTGAAGTATGCAAATGTGACCGTAATTGACAAAAGGTACCTTATGGCGGATAGGAAAATTGGTCTTTATAGCCTAAAAAATCCAACTTCCTTAGCACCATTTATCATAAAATTACTCAAGAGGATGCAAAAAGTTACTATGTAGCTCATAGAAACAATTGTTGACTAACAGAGCACTCACAGGTTCATATTTTTCATTAGAAAGATGAATTTTAAAATCCGCCATAAGGTACCTTTTGTCAATTATGGTCACAAATATTCAGCTCAGTAAATAATAGTAAATTACTGTAATGGTCATGCACTGATATTTTAGCATAGCAAGCAAATCAAAAGTCATGTTAGTCTCAGTAGTCTGCACAGGCTGGCTGAATCTCATATTTATGGTTCAAAAAGCCATTAGTGATTTCATCGTAAGGAATGAAAGAGATTTCATCTTCTGACATAAGGCAGGGTGACGCTGTTCAAAATTAGACATAATAATTATTATTACAGACTAGCTAAGCAAATCACCGGTAAATTACCATGGTCCAAAATATTAAATTCATTATTCAGTGAGTAAATTCACTCAACTTTTCATTATACATAGAAAGATATACCTGTAATGAGTATGATCAGAAACTACACAACAAAAACAATTGTACCATGCACAACCAATTCAAAAATTTGAGCAAAAATAGCAATAATGACATAGTATTAGCATAATCACGAGCCTACCTTTTCATGAGCTCCATGTACATGATACCATTGTTAATTTGACAGGAAAACTTCAGAGCACAACCAATTCAAAAAGTTGAGCAAAAATAGCAATAATGACATAGTATTAGCATAATCACAAGCCTACCTTTTCATGAGCTCCATGTACATGATACCATTGTTAATTTGACATGAAGGAATACTTCAGAGATGAATGATAGTGAAGAAATAGAAAATATAAATCTAAAAGAGAAAAACTGAATTACATGTATGCCATTTTAGTGGAAATATATAATAGATCTATAAACAGTTGACATTGAGACAAAATATTATCAGTTAAAAATGTGGAGTCAGGCTTTCATTATAATTTTATTTAGTTGGCAGAAGTGAGAAGCATTATTGGTACGTTGCTAATGACTGATCCAAAATTAGTATTAATTTAAACGAAGTGTCTACAGGTCCGGTAACCGGACACAGTATTCAGGGCTAGAGGTCCGGTAATAGGGGCTTCACCCCTATATATATATATGTATATAATACTGAGGCGTAGCCCCAGTATAAATAATCGAGTATAAATCCAAAGACCAGCATCACAAATGCAGCAGGGTCGTGGTGGTGTAGCGGAGAGGCTCGTGTGGATTGCATGGATGTGGGCAACGGTTCGAATCCGGTCAGTTCTACTGCATAGAACTATGCTACAGTTTATGATTTTTTTCTTTTTTAAAAATGATTTTTTTTGTTTGTTTCTCCTTTTTGGCTTTATTTAGGTCAAGAAATAACACACTCTCGTACATCTTAGCCTCCGGGGTCGTAGGGTTGGGATTGGGGTTTAGTATTTAGTTTTCAGAGCACCCGTCTCGTACATCTTAGCCTCCGGGGTCGTAGGGTTGGGGTTTGGTGTTTAGTTTTTAGAGCACCCTCTGGTACATCTTAGCCTCCGGGATTGTAGGGTTTTGGGATTAGGGTTTAGGGTTTCTTGATAAAAAGATTAAGTTCCATTTTGCACTATTGCACATGCGCACAAGCTGTTTTACGGAGAAAAACGGACTGCCGGATCTCTAGCAATTGAAAACTGTGTCCGGTTACCGGACCTGTAGACACAGCCTAATTTAAAATTATGCTAAACTAACCCAACTTGAATCATTTCTCACAAAAACCTTGTAATATATAGACTATAGGCCGAGATATAGGTCTACTGTTAATGAAATACATGCACCATATACAGGGCCGTAGCCAGGAACCTAAGACAGGGGGTTCGGAAATTGCTGCGCCTTTGCGCGCAGCGAAAATTTTGGCGAAAATGGGCGTGATCGGTGGGCGTGATCGGTGGGCGTGGTTTTAATTTACGCATCTCAGCCATGTGCTGACTCAGCTAAAATGGCTATCTGTGCTTCTCACTGTTGCCAAAATGCTAATCCTGCTTTTGCAGTGCTGTTCTTCATGACAGGAGCTAATCTAAAACTTTTTTGCAGC